CGGGGACAGAAGAGCAGCGCGCGTCGCGCCTCGCGCGGCGCGGCGCGCGAGCCCGGGTGACCCGCCGCGGGCGCAGGGCTCCGGGTCGATCAGCCCGCTGTGGGCATCGATCCCAGCGGGCTTCTCGGGTTCGAGTCCGAGGCCCTGGCGGTCCCATGCGTCACCACCCACCAAACCACCCCAACCCAGCCCGAAGGCCTCAATTTGCTTTCCATTTCCAGTGGGGGGGGTCCGGGAACGTCGAGAAAACACATATGGAAACCGTACCCCCCCCCACCCGAAAGTCGGGTCTTCGGGTTGGGTTGGGGTGGTCTGGTAGGTAGTCAATGCGGTCCCCCCGTGCCCGCGTGGTGTGCTTCATGGCGCGGCTTACAGTCGGTGCGCATCGGCAGGTCGACCCTGCAAAATCAGGGGTACGCTTGTGTCCTGTCTATCCCTCTGCATGTCCTCTGCGTGTTCGGACTGAGAGTGCCCCTGTGCCCCGTGGTTGTTGGAGGCCATGTGGCCGTCGGACGAGTCGCGTGTCCTGTCGCGTGTCCTCTCGCATGTGCTCCGACCGTATCCGATCCGATCTCGACTCCGTGCCGATGTAGCCCGATCCGACGCGTCTGCCGATCCATTTGCCGCTCGCCTCCCCCGCCTGCCGCCCGTGCCCGCCTGGGCCCGCGCCCCGGCCGGCCATCTGAATTCGCGCGGCTCACAGGCAGCCGCTCTGCACGACGCCTCGCAGGCTGCGGGCGCCAAGGAAGTGCGCCTCCGGAGACTCCGTCAGCGCCAGCGCTGGAGACTAGCTGCCAAGCAGGCGGCCCGCACATCGTGCGCACTCCCTTTCCTGCCCCTCCCACCTTCTCCCTCGCCCGCTCCCCGCTCTCCTCCTCCCCCTCGTTCCCTCTGCCCCCTTCCTTACCCTCCCGTCCCCTTCTCCCACTCCCCCTATCCTCACCCACCTCTCCCTTCCTCACCCTCCCCTCCTCTTCCCCACACTTTCGTCCCCCTCCCCCCTCTTCACAAGTACACATTCTGCACACTACTCTCCTCTCCCCTGCGCCTGTCTGGAAGATAGCCGCCCCTCTCCGTGTATCATTCCTGCCACACAGCAGGATGCTATGCTTAGCTAAGTCGACCCTATAGTTCCCCGTATTTCAGCAAAACGGTGTTCCCGTTGCAGCGTGGGCCTCGTTTTTGAATCGGCGCTGCCTACTTTTCTGGTTCCGAGTCCTTGTTCGTCGTTGTCGCCCCCCTCGTGTCTTCTCCCCCGCCTACCCCTGGTCCTCCTGCTTCCCCCGCTCCTTCCACTCCAGCTCTTGCCGCTGCTCTTCGTCCTCATCCTCCTCCTTCCTCCTCCTCCTCCTCCTCATCCTTTTCTTCCTGCTCATCCTCCTGCTCATCCGCCACCTCCTCCTCCAATGTACGCAGCTCCCTTGTTCGACGATTGCGCATGACACGATGTGGTCCCCTTTGGAGTTCCAGGACTGCTATGGCATGCGTCGGCGCACAGAGGAACGACAGCGCAATGGGAAGGGATGGGTGTGAGGGGCAGGATGTCCGATATGTCGCGAGAGCACCTAGCTTGCATCCTGCTTCTCTTATCCCTCCCACCCCCTTCCTCCCCGCCCCCTCCTTCTCTCGCCCTTCTCCATTCCCTCTCCTCTTCCCCCCCGCCCATTCCCCCCCTCTCTCTCCCTGGCCCCCCCCTCTATCCTCTCTTCCCCCCCTCCCCACTCTCTCTTTCAGCCGTCCTCCCTCCTGCTGTTTCCCCCTCCCCTTTTCTTCCCTCCCCACCCCTCTACCCTCTCCTCCTCCTTCACTCTTTGTTTCCCCATGCGGAGAAAGATGATGATGAGGAGGAGGAGGAGGCGGAGGAGGAGGAGAAGGAGGAGGAGGATGATGATGAGGAGGAGGAAGATGCGGTGTTAGAGTGGTCGCCCCAGTGCCTGGTGGAGTGTAGTACAGCAGTAGTTAATCGGTTAGCCAGCGTGGGCCCCAAAGAGTTTGTTATTTGCACTGCGGAGGTGGACGCTATGTGGTGTAAGCCATGCGTTGAACGCCATGCCGTGTAAGACATGTGTGGTGTAAGCTGTGTAGTGTGAGCTATACGGGATATGCCATGTGTTGAAAGCTAGGTCGTGCAAGCTATGTGGTGTTAGCTATGGAGTCGCAGCCTATTCGGTGCAGGCCACGTGGCGTAAGCTATGTCGTGCGAGCTCTGCGGCGTGAGCGCTCTTGGGGCCGTCTTTGGGCTCTCTCTTGGGCCTCTCTTGCGTCTTGGGGACCTCTTGGCGGTCCCCTGGCCTCTTGGGACGTCTCGGGGAGCCAGCCTCTCGGGGCCTCTTGGGGACCTCTTGGCGGTCCCCGGGCCTCTTGGAACGTCTCGGGGAGCCAGCCTCTTGGGGCCTCTTGGGGGTCTCTTGGGAGCTTCTTGGAGGCCTCTTAGGCGCCTCTTGGGGCCTCCTGGGCGCCTCTGGGGCTTTCTTGAGGCGCTCTTGGGAGCCTCGGGGGCGCTCTGGGGCCATCTTGGAGGACATCGATCAAACAAGAGGGGAGACTGAATTAGCGTAGCCCCTTGGGAGCCCCCAACGTCGCGTCTCGGGGCGCTCTTGGGGCGCTCTTGGAGCGCTCTTGGAGCGCTCTTGGGGCCGTCTTGGGGCTCTCTTGACCCTCTCTTGGGCCCTCTTGGCCCATCTTGGAGCCATCTTGAGGCTTCGGATGGCCATCGGAAGCGAAAAGGAGAGATAGCGAACAGTATAGATGTTTCCAAGATTTGGGAAGGATTTTGTCCTCTTCGGGGCCTCCTGGGGGAGCTCTTTGGCCACTTGGAGCCGTCTGGGAGCGGTTTTTGGGCCTCTTGGAGCGTCTTGGGAGCAATCTTGAGGCATCTTGGGATATCTTGAGCCATCTTGGAGGTCATCTTGGGCTCTCCCAGGCGCTCTTGGATCCGTCTTAATCAGTGCCCCCCCCCCCTGGGGCCAACATGTGGCCAAAACCTTAGTACAATCAATGATTTTGGCATTCTCGCCGAGGCCTCTTGGGGCGTCTTGGGTGCCTCTGGGGGGCCTCTTGGGGCTTCTTGGGGGTCTCTTGGAAACCTCCTGGGGGTATCCTGGGGGCCTCTTGGGGGCCTCTTGGGGCCTCCTGGCACCTCTTGGAGCTCTCTTGGAGCGCCCTTGGGAACCTTGGGGACCATCTTTGGGCTATCTGGGAGAAAATCGATCAAACAAGAGGGGAGCTTTAATGAGCGGCCCCCCCAAGATGCCAAAATGGGCCCAAACCTTAGTAACACCAATGATTTGGGCTTCCTCGCCGAGGCTGTTTCGGACGCTCTGACATCTCGCGGCGGGCCCCGTCCAGGTCCAGGGGAGGGGGTAGTGGGAGGGGTAAACCTCTCCCCGAAGGGGAAGAGGGGCAGATGGACGACAACGCACCCTAGACCACCTACACCCTAAAGGGCTTGTGGGATTACTTGAGACAGTTACGTAATCCCGAAGCGCATGCACAGTTGGGGGACTACTGGCCGCAGCAATGATGACCGCTGCTGTTTGGCTCAGCATATGTACTGTGGCAGCGCTCCTGGTGATCTGCAATACAAGCACATCAGATCGTCCAAAGTACAGTGCAACCTACCCTGGAGTTTGCACGTGGAAGTGGAGGAGAGACGAGGATGAGGGGGAGGAGGAGGACAGACGTGTGCTCCGCGCAGAGAAGGAAGAGGAATCCCGCCTTACGCATCGCTCCGACCAACCAGCCACTCGCTACCTGACTGTAGGCGGTAGCGGTGCTCGTTCGGAGAGAGGGTACACAGATAGAGAGATATTGAGACAACAGTGGTGTTGCCGAGCAATTGGTAATGGGGAGACGGAAGAGGGGGTAGGAAGGTGATGATGATGTTGTTGATTATGACGGTGATGATGGCGCTGATGATAATGCGGATGTTGATGCTGATGCTGATGTTGCTGCTGATGCTGATTATGCTGATGATGATGATTGTGGTGGTGATGGTGATGGTAATGGTACTGATGATGCTACTGATGCTGATGATGTTGATGATGCTAGTGCTGGTTGTGGTGGTGTTGAGGGTGGTGGTGAGGAGTATGTTGTTGTTGTTATGGAACATGCAGCTGCCAACGATGGTGATGCTGGTGATGGTGCTGATGATGTTAATGATGATGCTGATGCCGATGCTGATGCTGATGGTGATGAGGAGGTGGAGGAGGAGGTGGAGGAGGCTGCTGCTGCTGATGATGCTGATGATGCTGCTGCTGATGATGATGGCGATGATGATGATGATGCTGATGATGATGACGCTGATGCTGCTGATGATGATGATGCTGATGATGATGCTGATGTTGCTGCTGCTGATGATGATGGCGATGTTGATTATGATGCTGCTGATGATGATGATGATGCTGATGCTGGTGCGGATGATGATGATGATGATGATGATGCTGATGATGATGATGATGATGCTGATGCTGCTGCTGATGATGATGACGATGATGATGTTGCTGCTGCTAATGATGATGGCGATGATGATGCTGATGCTGCTGATGCTGATGCTGATTATGAGGATGATGATGATAATGATGTGATGATGCTGATGCTGATGATGCTGATGATGCTGCTGATGATGATGATGACGATGATGGTGATGATGGTGATGATGATGATGATGATGATGATGATGATGGTGGCGGTGGTGATGATGATGATGATGATGACGATGCTGATCATCATGATGATGGTGGCGTCGCCTGTCGTTCGAGCCGTCCGTTCCTTCTCTCTCTCTCTCTCCCCTGTGCATGGGCGTTGATGTTGTACATCTCTCTCTTTATATATATATATATATATATATATATATGTATATACAAATTTATGTACAACGCATGCGTGCATTATTCGTGTGTATATATGCGCGGGAGAGGCAGCAACGGCAGCAGGAGAAACAGGCCTGCTGTGCCCTGGGGGAGCGGGGGCAGCAAACCAGATCGCCCCGCTGCCTTCGCAGCTGTCTTGGCTTTCCGGCCGCGGTCCCCACCCCGCGGGCTCGGTGCAGGGGTGGGTTTCGAGTGTAGAGGGGGGGCGGTTAGAGGGAAGAGAGAAGAGGAAGGAGGAGGAGGAGGAGGAGGAGGAGGAGGAGGAGGAGGAGGAGGAGGAGGAGGGGGAGGATGCGGAGGAGGAGGGGGAGGAGGCAGCGGAGGAGGAGGAGGAGGAGGAGTTCTTCTCCAAGCAGTGCTTGCGCATACGAAGGGGCTCCCATTGAGCTTACGTAAGGGGCTGGGTAGGGGTTCCCGTTTTTTCCCCCGTGGCGGGCACGTGCCGCCTTGTGGGCGCCCGGTGGCTGCCCCACGCTGGGGGGTTCTCTCTCTCTCTCTCGGGTTTTCGACACGTTGCGGGCCCGTGCCGCCTCGTGGGCGTCTCATGTGCGCACTGCGCTTGGGGGGCACGCGGGTTTCCTGGCGCGCAGCTGGCACCACATAGGTACCGCCGCACAGTTTACGCGACACAGCTTGCACCACGCAGATTGCATCTTGCTCGGGTGATGGGATGGACATGTCGGGGGTTCGGCTGGTGCCTGGTTGCTCGGCGCCCGTGGGCGCCTTGTGGGCACCCCGCGCTGGGGCGGCATCTTGAGGTTCCGCCTGGTGCCCGCCCGTGGGCGCCTCGTGGGCGCCCCGCGCCGGGGGGTACGTCGAGGCTTCGCCCAGTGACAATCTGGTGGCGCCCGGCCGGCGCCCCGCGGGGGGGGGGTATGCCAATGTGTCGCATGGTGCGCGCCCGTGGATGCCTCGTGGGCGCCAAGTGCCCTGGGTGGGTCACATAGCTTACACCACAGCTTACACCGCAGAGCTGACGCCGCATAGCTTGCACCGCATAGCTTGCAAAACATAGCTCACCTCACATTGGTCACATCGCATAGCTTACACAACATAGCTCGCATCGCACAGCTTACACATAGCTTACACGATGCAGTTCACACCACCTATCTTATACAACGTAGCAGAACCCACAGCTTACTCAGCGTCCCTTTTACCTCCACAGTGCAAAGAGTCACTGATTGGGTGCCACGCAGGCTAATCTAGGTACATATTGTATGCTAGACGAAGAGGAGGGGTGGGGGAGCAGGAGGAGGAACACATAGGACGAGGAGGGGAAGATGCTGGGGAACGAGGAAGGGGACGAATGGAGCAGGAATGGGAGGAGGAGGAGGAGGAGGAGGAGCAGGAGCAGGAGGAGGAGGAGGACCAGAAGGTGGTCGAAGGTTCCCAGGAAGTGGTCGTTTTTTTTCGTGGCCACTGGAGGTCTTAGAGACCTCGTCCTCCCCAGGTCCCCTAGCCTGGCGTCTCGAGCAAATCACGTCCTGCCGTTTCTGCGACTGTGTTGGCGAAGGGGCTCGTGGACATCCGTTGTGCCCGGCCCTTCTTTCAGCGGACAGCACTGCAAAAGCAGAGAGGTGGGAAGCTACGGCCACGAACCCCCCCCTGGAGTGTTCCCAGGCAGGATGACGGGAAGCTCCCATACGGGATCAAGCACTTCCGGGGGACCCGACCTCCCAGTTTTCTGGGAGGCGGTTGACATGTGTAAATCCCCGCTTCGCGCAGACAGACCTGCCGTGGAGACCGCGGGACTGGGGGTGGAGGGGGGCGAGGAAGACGCAGGAAAGCACGGGACGCAGTGGTGGCCACTAAACCAACGCAGGTCAGTGAACGGATTGCTTGCGTCGCGCTGGTCCCAGCCAGGCTGCGGGGCGGGCGGAGAGTCCAACGAGTCACACCGAAAGGTCGGCCAGGCCCAGCCACGACTTGGCACCGCCCGTGGCATCTTCGCCCTCGTCAGCGGGGACGTCGGCCAGGGAGCGGGGTGAGAATTGGGGCGTGGCACTCGTGCCAGGCAGGCGGGGGCGCCTCGGCAGGAAAGCGAGTCCCGGGAATGCCCGCTGTCACCAACAGCTGACCAGACTTGAAGCACAAGACGCTGCATCGACGCCACTTTTCGGATGTGCGCGCAAATCCCACCAGCCCTCTGGGCGTAGGTGGGTTAGGGAGTTTCCTCTTCCACCCCTCCTTCTTCCCCTTCGGGGAGGGGCTTCCCCCCCCCTACCCCCTCCCCTGGACCTGGACGGGGTTCCGCGAGTCGTCGGAGAGTCCAAAACGGCCTCGGCGAGTAAGCCAAGCTTATTGGTTTTACTAGGGTTTTGGCCCCATTTTGGCCTCCTGAGGGGGGAGGAGAGTCAGCGCCGACCCCAGCAGTCTGCGCGGACTTTCGGCCGCACCTGTAACCATGGGGGGGTCCGGCAGCGTGGGCGGCGCAGCTGGGCGGCCACCGCCACAGAGGGGGCTGCCAACCGGGCCTCCGGGCCTCCAGGCACCAGGCCTGGGGCCTCGTTGGGGAGACTCGGGCGGGTGGGAGTCGTGGGGTGATGGGCTTGTTTTCCAACACCACCACCACCATGAGTTGGAGGGGGAAGGAGGTGGAGGACGAGAAGGAGGAGGACCAAGAGGAGTGTCATGAGTGTCATAGATCCAAGCAGTGAACGGCGAGCGAGGCTCAACCGTCACCCTCGGCCTCCCAGACAGGAGGAAGGGGCCCGCGGACGCCAGCACCGACGGTCAGAGGAAAGGCAGATACTTCGTCGCTCAACGACTCGCTGCCCAACCGAAACGGCGTGGTGCGTAAAGGGACAGCCGGTTCACCGCGTCACCGCGCAGTATTTCCCGACCGTCACCCCAGCCGAATCGGATGGCATGTGCATTTGGGTTTGTACCCCAGGGTGAGCGGACACAAGGTCCCAGAGGACTTACGGACCACATGGCCCCGCCTCTCAACCAAATGCACACTCCCCGTGCCTGATACCCATCTCCAGGTCACGGGCGCAGCTAACGCGCCGCTGCCACGGGCAAAGTGCCACGTGGCTGGTGCAAGAACGACGAACGCCAGTTTATCTGCCCCCGGCCGCCGCATGCAATTGACGCTGACAGTGTGCCCCGAGGAGTGTGTGGCGCTGACACCATGAAAACGGGTGCCAGGCCCCCACCCTCCGGGCGAGGAGGACCAAGAGGAGGAGGAGGAGGAGGAGGAGGAGGAGGAGGAGGAGGAGGAGAAGGAGGAGGAGGAGGAGGAGGAGGAGGAGGAAGAGGAGGAGGAGGAGGAGGAGGAGGAGGAAGGAGGAGGACCCCCTGCCCTTCAACTTATGGTGGTGTGGTGGTGGTGGTGGTGGAAAACATGCCCATCATTGGGTGATCCACATGGGGGGTGAAGAAACGAGCCCTAAAGAGGCCCCTTTTCTTCACCCCCAATGTGGGTCACCCTCCCAGTGCCACCCGCCCGAGGGAGCAAGCAGAGAAGCACCGTCCAGCTGGCGGGGCGGCCTGGGGAGCACACTCCCCCTCGCGGGCCGCCGAAGGGAAGCGAGGCGGGCGCCAGAGAGGGTGTTGGCGTGGCCAGCGTGCGCGGCTGCGTCGTGTGGCCCTGTGACAGGTGCGCTGCTGTGCACCACTCTGCGGCCGCTCGCGAGCCTCCTCAGCATCGTTGAACCTCGGCCCAGCTCCACCGGGCCATGGTATTTCAGCCGCTCCATCACACGCCCTAGTTGGGGATGCACCCCTCGAAACCCAAAGGGGGCAGTCGATATGTCCCCATCGAGGGGGGTAAGTCGGCCTCTGGGGCCCAGGCCACGCTTGTGGGGATAGGGATCGGTTACACGATGCTCAGAACCCTACCCACCCGGGTGCGGTCAGTGCTGGGTTGTCGGAGGCCCCCGATGGGGTTCCCTTGGCTGCAGGCCCCCATCGATCTCTGAACCCCAGCTGGCGTTTCAGAGATCTCACCTGCTGGGGTAGGGTTCGCCTGTGGTTGCCTGACTGCGGGGGCTGGACTTTCTAAGAGCGTCTCGGCAACTGCTGCCCGCGGACTTGGCAGCGGGCTTGGCAATGAGCTGCGGACTGGCGCTGCGGCAGGCCTGACGGTGCGGTGATCTCCTGGCCCTTCGCTGCTGGCTATCACGCAGCGGGGGCACTGCAGAGAGCTGTGGAGCGTCATTGGGCGCGGGTGCTGCCTCAGGCGGCCTTTGCGTCGTCGCCTGGGGGGAGGCCGCAAGAGGCCACCGCGGCATGCGGCACTGCGGGGCCTTAGCTTCAGCCTCTGAACTCCAGGCCGCTTGCTGGTTGGAACTTGTGGCGTGGCATTGGCTGGTGTGTGGAAGCACTGTCCGAGGCTGGCAGATTCTTTGGTTCCGCGCTCGGCTACGTAGCTTCAGCACTTGCCGGCGAGTGTAAGCCACAGAAGGCGGATCTTGCGACAAGACGCCTGTAACCCAATACAGCACGTGCGCTGCGTTGTGTAATGTCCAAAACCTGTGTAAAAAGCTGATGCCCCCCTCCCCTCCCCCCCTGGATCCCGACTGCCATACATTCGCTGCCGAATGATCGTTTGTTTTAGTTGCCCCCCTTGGAGAACATCCCACGGAGACCAGAACGATGCGATTGATATATGATTCCGGGCTCCGGGCTCAGGGCCCCCCCCTCCTTCCCAAGATGGGATGGGTCTCAGGGTCCGTCGGTCCCCCCCCAGATTGGATGGGGATGGGGGACGACGACGACGACGACGACGACGACGACGACGACGACGACGACGACCGCTCAGGCTCCCTGAAGCACTCCCTGAGGGAGGCGACGTCGGGCAAGACACCGTCGCGACGATGCTGCCTCTCCTCCTCGCTCCGTCCCCCTCATCCCTCCCTCCTCGTTCCTTGGCCCTCCCTTCCCCACCTTGCTCCCTTCTCTCACTGCCTCTCCTCCTCTTCCTCCTCCTCCTCCTCCTTCTCCTCCTCCTCCTCCATGATGGGGGGGAGGGGGGGGGGGGGGGGCGAACCCCATACCGACCATCGCACGCCCGCAGGGGAAAACCCCACCACGCCACGCCCACAGGGGGGGTGGGGCATCGCGCGGGGCGGTGGGTGGCCGATGGCATCAGCACGAGGGGGGGGGGCTGGACCATGGATCATATATATATATATATGCACATATGAATGTATATATATATATATATATATATGTATATATACACTTCTATATATGTATATATATATATATACACGGTGGGGGACAGGGCGATGGCTCCCAGGGCGGCCCCTTGACGCGTTATGGGGGGCCGGGGGCCCCGGGAGCGGGCTGGGATCGCGTCAGGAGGCCGAAGACGCCCCCAGAAGGCGCCAAGAGAGCCTCAAGAGCGGTCTAAGAGGCCTCCAAGACAGCCCTAGAGCGCTCTAAGCCGCCCAAGACGGCCTCAAGATGGCGGTCGTGGGGACGTCCCTGGCGGCCCGGTTTGCCCCGCTTTTTTTTTGTTGTTTTCTATATGCGCACTACAGCGCTAGGAACAACTATTTTTCAAACTGTCCCCCCAGATCGTTTTTGGAAATGGCGGAAAGGCATTATTGCTGCGCATGGCATCTTGCGAGGAGGACGGGGAAGGGAGGAAGGAGGGAGGAGGAGAAGGGTGTCTTGGCGCCAGCTTGGTGCCAGACATTCCAGCTGGATGCCCGCCCCAACCATTCGGGTGTTGCCACAGGTGTCCGTGGCCCAAGGTGCCCCCAGAGTCTCCAGGGAGGCTCCCAAGGCTTCAAAGGGCACCGCTTACGAGGCTCTCAGGGGCCCTGGAGCCCCCGAGTGGCGCGAAGAGCTTGGGGCACCGTTGGCGCCATGCGCGCACCGCTGGCGACCCCCGAGCCGTGACGCTGCTGCGCCTGGACCCCGAGGACCGCCTGTCTTTCCGCAGGGCCCCGGACAGCAGGGAGCACAGCAGGACCCTGAGGCTCACCAACCGGAGCGGGGGCCACGTCGCCTACAAGGTGAAGACGACAGCCCCGGAGGCCGCACGCCTCGTCCTCCCTCGCTCCTCGTGCTTCTCCTCCTCCTCCTCCTCCTTTTCTGACGTCGAGCGGACGTTAATCCTCAGACTGTAGGTTCTGCCCTCCTGGTCCTCCTCCTCCTGCTCCTTCTCCTCCTGCTCCTCCTCCTCCTCTTCCTTCTGCATGACCTCCTTCCCTCGTTCCCAGATCGGAGGAGTAAGCGGCACCGATGCCGCCGCCCCGCGACCCTTCCCTTGTCGCCACGGTTGGGTTAGCCTCGGAAGTTTGTCCAGAGCGCACCCTGCGAGAGGTCCACGGAGCAGCGGTATTGGTATCTTGTTGTTTCCTCAATCTAGGCCTCCTAGGAGGGGTCCGAGCAGATGGGGTCGGAGGATCGCGCCGCATCGCCGATGCATCGGCGATGCGGCTCGATGCGGAGTCTCCGATTCACTCCACGCCGACGTCGCCGATGCATCGCCGCCGCCGCCGGTGCATTGCCGATGCATTGGCGATGCGGCGCGATCCTCCGACCACATCTGCTCGGACCCCATCTGGGAGGCCTCAACTCAAGGCATCCTCCCCAGACCTCCCGTGCCGTAACAAAAAAGTATCGGAGGGAGATCCGCGCCGAGAGAAACTACGACGTCGGAGGTCCGCTCCTTTTCCGCGCCTGGCGGAAAAGGGTCCCTCGTCGGAGCTCGGGAGGTCCGCTTCGACGGAGGATTTTTTTGATTGCAACGCCCAGGCCCCAGAAGAGTGCAGTGCACATGAAGGCCGTGACGAACAACACCGAGGTGAAACAGACCAGGACCCACATGAACCAGGACCCACATGAACAGTGCGACGTGCTGAGGCGCCGCTCACAGAGTACGCCGCCCAGGACATTCCTGAAGAAATTGTCACCAAATCGCCAACAACGAAGAACTGAAATAAAGCACGACCACACGAGGTGCAGAACGACTTGGTGTTCGTGGCAGCCACATACAATGATAATCATCATCACCAGAAAACCCCGATCGAAGAAAATACAATGCCAACGACGCACTGCAACACATAGCAGAAGCCCAATACCCAGAACTCCGAGGCGGACGAACATCCAGAACTTGACATAAGATCCACTAGCAGGATGCGCACACGCTAGAAGTGCACGCAGACCTTCACTCGAATTGAGTGCAAGACTGTGGCACACCCCAAACCCAAGTCACCACTCGACGTCGGACAAATCATCACGTTCCCAGTCTCCAAGGTCGAGCACAGCGTCGGGCAGCCAGTCCGCGGAGACGTCACCACCAGAGGCGCCCACCATACAGCGAGGGAATGGCGATGAACAGGATGCAGCCGAAGCGCCGAAGAGGTGACCTTCACCAGGATCCAGCGGGCCCAGCCCAGTGGGCGCCCATACGAGGGGCGGCAGCTGGCCGGCAGCGGGAACGCCAGGAGCCTTGATGGCAGCGGCCGTGCCTCCCGTAGCAGCTGCCGTGTGCGCGGCCTCGTCGACCTCCGCGTTGGCCGATCGGGGCTCCACCTCAGCAGCTGCCGCCTGCTCACCCACAGGGCCGTCCTCTGCGCGGGGGGGGCGAACCCCGCCAGAGGGAAACCTGATGCCAGCGACATCCCAGCCCTCCAGCTCCTTCACCGCCTCGGCCCGGCCCAGCTCCGCACAGGAGGAGGTAGGAGGGAGGAGGGAGGAGGGAGGAGGGAGGAGGGAGGAGGAGAAGACAGCAGTACCGCAGTTGCACAGCCTGCCGCACGGCCCAGGCGAGACGCCCAGCTCCTGGGGGGGCCTCTCGGGCAGCGGCCCCCAGCGTCTCCCGCACCTGGCAAGAACACCGCCGCAGCGCCTGCACGCAGGCCGCCCCGCGCCACGCCAGGGCGCGCCTCGAGCCGCGGCCCGTGCCGCACACGGCGCAGCACGGAGGTCGCCGTCCTCTCTCACCTTCTGGCCCTCGGGCCCCTCCACGGACGCCAAACGGCTCGGCGCGTCGCACCGCGACGAGCGGTGCCTTGAGCCGACCGTGGCTCTGCCACTGGTCTGCGTCGCCGGCCTAGCCGAGCGCCCAGTGCGAGCACCCCGGGCCGAGTGGCCACCAAGGGAGCGGTTGGCGGGCGAGGACCTTCTGCTTACCTCGGGGCTGCCTGGCGTCCGCGGCCGAGGCCGCCGCGGCTGGACGTGGCTCGGACTACACGGGACAGGACGCCGCCAGGGCGCGGTCGGGGGACATCGGTGGGCTCGGCCACACGGTGACTTGTGGCGGAGAGGGCCGAAGCCGAGCACGCGGGCCGTGGTCGCATCGCACCCGGCGCTCGGCAAGCCGCGCAAGTACCACGGGTCGCGTTCGATGGGCCAATGTTCCACCACCACTAGCATAGGCAGGACGGGGGAGAAGGGAGGATGGGGAGGTCCTCCTCCCCCTCTTCCTCCTCCTCCTCCTTCTCCTCCTCCTCCTCCTCCTCCTCCTCCTCCTTTTTGTCCTCCTCTTCCTCCTTTTCCGCCTGTGGTGGGGCAGGTTGGTGTGCCACTGGCTCGCGAGGATGGCGAAGCACCCCTCGAGGCGAGGGTGGGGCTGGGAGTCGGGCGACTCCGACTGACTCTTTCGGCTGGTTAGTGCACGAGCTGTGCCACTTCTACAGTCGGCTCCGCGTTCCTTAAGTGTTTCACAGCTTGCCTCAGGGTTTCCTTCTGTTTTCGATGGGGAATCGAAGGTTAACTTCTGGAAAACAGGGGCCTCGTTCCTTATTTAGGGCTCCTTAGGTCAAGGCCCCGACTGTACATGCAGTCTTGGTGACACAACCCGTTCTTCGGCAGGAGGCACATTGACTGCGTGCCATCGGTGCTACGGTTGTCTGTGCTTCTCTTCTGGCCGCACTGCGGCCCCAGCATCCTGTGCAACGCCTCAGGCTGCTTCTGATTCGGTTTGGGGCTCGAGCATCTCCCTCGGGCGCCCTGTTGATGGCACGTTTGCCGCAGGTCATGCCCCAAGGGGGCCGATGATGAACAAATTCTCCTCCTCCTCCTCCTCCTTCTCCTACCTATGGTAGTGGTGGTGGAAAATCGGCCCATCAACGTTCGCCCAGCCCAGACATCCGACGTCGTGTGGTTGGTTGTCAAGTGCTCTCCCGCCCCCAAGAAGGTCTGGACCCCTTCCCCGGGACTGGCGTTCCATCCCGAGTCGTTCTCCTCCGCTCTGCGCGAGGTGCTGCCCTGTGGCCGTCTTGTGCCGTCTCTTGAGGCCTCTTTCGACCATTCGGGCCGTGTCGGGGGTCGCCTGGCGGCGGCCTGGGTCGGCGCAGGCACCCGTTTGCGGCGCGAGAGCGCGAGCGTGTTGTTCTCGCGTTCGGGGCCTCGCGCTGAGCGCGGCTGCGAGGCGCGAGGCGCGAGGCGCGAAGCTGGGGCGACCCCGCTTCTAGACGACCCCCCGGAGGCCTACGCGGTGCAGAAGCACCTCGGGAAGATCGGGCCCGGGGAGTCGTGCGACGTGACTATCGTCCTGCAGGACCCGTGGTCCGGTGGCCGGCCACCCGCAGTCGGCCACGCGCAGAGGGGAGTCGGGGGAGGGGGGCCAGGCTCCTCGGAAGAACCCTGCACCTCAGAAGGCGCGGACCTTGTCTGTAGGTGTAAGACTGGCGCCTTCTAAGAAGCAGCCTCCTTCTAAGGAGCCTTCCCCCCCTCCCCACCCCGTTGTGCGCGCCGCCAGCTCAGGGCAGATGGAGCGCTGGGACGGCCACGCAGAACCTCCAGAGGCAAAGAAGCATCCCAAGTCTGCTGGTCTCTTACTTCAGGGGCAACAGTCGGTGGCGATAGGCATGGGAGGAGACGCATCGACCCCCGATCGCCCATCGATCGCCGATAGTGCTCTGATAGCCCCACCCGCCCAGGAAGGTGCGGATTCGCTATCGGGGGCCTATCGGCGATCTATCGGCGATGTATCGCCGATTCCATTACGATATTCCCCCTCCCTGTGCCAGTTCCCCCCCCTATCGTTGCCCCTCAGTGTGCTCCCCCGTTCCTACATGCATTGCCGAATGATTGGCGTGCTGCGTTTTCGTTCAGTGGCCGCCCGTGAACGCCTCGTCGCCACCTCGTGCGTCACCACATAGCTTGCACCACGTCGCTTCCACCACATGGCTTGCACATCCACTGTGCACAGACCCACTGCTTGGTGTCCACGCTGGCGAACACTTTCCCCCGGAGGATCTGCGCGGTGGTCCCCGATGTCCCCCTGGCCCGCTGGCTGGACAGCGGGCCACCGGTGCAAGGACAGGTGCGCCAGCGATCCTGCCCAGGTCCGCTCCCACCGATTCCTGGTACAGGCCGCCCCGGTGGGCTCCCCGGGCGCGATCACGAAGGAGGCGTGGGCGTTGCTGGACAAGGGGTCGATCCAGGAGCACTGCCTGCCTGTGGTTCTGGACACCGCAGGCGTGTCGGCCCCTGCCACCGCCTCGGCAGCGGCGAGCTGGGCCAGGACGGAGTCGGAGACGGAGCTGAAGGTGAAGTACGACGAGCTCGTGCAGTACAGGGAGCTGTTGGAGAAAGAGACGCAGAGCATTGAGGCGGAACTGGTGGGACTGAGAAACCCGAGGAGGACAGGCGTCGCTGGCAGCGGGTCTGGCTGGTCTTGTTGCAGGAGGCAGACGTGAGTGCGGCCTCGCTGCTGCCTGCCTTCTCAAGGACAGGAGGGTTGATGATGATGATGGTGGTGGAGGTGGTGATGGTGATGGTGATGGTGATGGTGATGGTGATGATGATGATGATGATGATGATGATGATGATGATGCTCATGATGCAGATGATGATGATGCAGATGATGATGATGATGATGATGATGAAGATGAGGATGATGATGTTGATGATGATGATGATTATGATGATGATGATGACGATGATGATGATGATGATGTGATGATGCTGATGATGTTGATGATGATGCTGCCAATGATGATGATGATGATGATGATGATGCTGATGATGATGATGATGATGATGATGATGATGAGGAGGAGGAGGAGGAGGAAGAAGACGAGGAGGAGGAGGCAGGACGATGACTTGTGAAGGGAAGGAGGAAGGTGAAGAGGAGGTCCTCTTGCTCCTGGTCCTCCTCTTCTTCCTCCTGCTCTTTTTTCCCGGAAAGGGCTTAAGCCCAGGGTTCTCGTTTAGATGGTTTACCCCCGGGTTTGACTTGAGGTGGGCCGGCGAATTTCTTTTGCGATAAATATCGAGGTCGAGGTGGGCCGGCGGATCAAAATTTGAGGATGTCCCTAACGAAACGCTTGTTTTTCCGAATGTGTCGAGGATGTCTCGAGCGAAACGCATGTTTTGTGTTATAGGTTGGCCTGAATTCAGAGGATCTCTCAAGTGAAATGCTTGTTTTCACGTGCCCAGGTCTTGAGGATGCCTCGAGCGAGACGCTTGGTTTCATGCCTCCAGGTTGCCCAGACAGATGTCTAGCATGAGGATTTGTTGAGAATGTCTCGAACCAGAGGCTTGTTTTCACGTGTCCAGGTCGCCCAGGCGGATGTATAGCATGAGGATCTGTCGAGGAAGTCTCGATCGAGACGCTTGTTTGCACGTGTCCAGGTCGCCCAGGCGGATGTCTAAGAGCGAACAGCGTGTTTTCACGTGTCCAGGTCGCCCAGGCACAGCACAGCCCTCGGCACGGTACATCAATATCGATACCCTTTAGCACTGCAGCCTGGCATGTTGCCTGGCACGTTCCGCGGAGCGTCCCGTGGCGAGTCCCCTTGGCACGTCGCGCGGTGCACGTCCATTGGCACGTTCCGTAGCGCGTCCCCTTGGCACGTCCCACGGTGCGTGCCCATGGCACGTCCCCTGGCACGTCGCCTGGCGCGTCCCTTGGGACGTTCCGCGGCGCGTCCTCCTGGCACGTCCCCCTGTCGATGAGTTCTGGGGCAGCTACCATCTGCTCAGGCAGCTCGAGCTTACGATCCAGATCAGTTCGGTCAGGACTCGGATGCAAAGAGGACTCGATCCACAACGCTATATAGACCACAATCCTGGCATGGCACATCGCAGTTCAGCACGGCCATCACAGCGCAGCCGTCGGCACGGTACATCAAGATCGATACATTCAACATTGCATCTGGGCACGTTCCTTGGCGCGTTCCTTGGCGAGTCCACCTGGCACGTCGCGCAGCGCGTCCCCTGGCACGTCCCGCGGCACGTCCATTGGCACGTTCCGCAGCGCGTCCCTTTGGCACGTCCCGCGGTGCGTGCCCATGGCACGTCCCCTGGCACGTCACGTCGCCTGGCGCGTCCCTTGGGACGTTCCGCGGCGCGTCCTCCTGGCATGTCCCCTTTGTCGATTGGTTCTGGGGCAGCTACCATCTGCTCAGGCAGCTCGAGCTTAAGATCCAGATCAGTTCGGTCAGGACTCGGATGCAAATAGGACTCGATCCACAACGCTGTAGAGCACAATCGCGGCATTGAGCATCGCAGTTCAGCACGGCGTAGCACAGCACAGCCCTCGGCACAGTACATCAAGATCAATATATTCAGCATTGCATTTGCCCGTCGCCCAATCAAGTGTCTTTGAAACGTTGCCATGTCTTACATTTCTATATTCCTTTCCGGGTTCGTGGGTCGATCATGTTTCTTCCTCCTCCTCCTCCTCCTCCTCCACCTCCTCCTCTTCCTCCAGGAGACTAAGAAAGGCGGCCCCTGGCACCAGCAGGTCGCCGGACTACAACAACTACGTCTTGGGCAATCGGCGGCTTCGCGCCGCCGGCTGCACCGCGCGCTTCCCGCCGTGGCTGGTAGCATGGATCACGCTGCTACGGTCCCCCGGATACCGAGAGGAGAAGAACGGACACCGAGAAGATGGGAGGAGGAGGGGAACACGTGAGGTGGATGCTTTCGAAGCCTGAAGCGGCAGCCTCCAGGCGGCTGCTCGGTGCACGCGGCAAGGGGGTTGCAGTTGTCACATCGCTTCTGACATCCTCATTGTGGCTGCCAAAGCTATCGCCTGCCTTTACACTGTTGCTTGGAGCGTCACGTGTCTGATTAGATCGTATTTTGTCGGTGAGCGTCGTCATCAGTGTTGTCGACGTTCTTTTACATTGCCAGTTTTAACAGATCTAGCTGCTCCAGAATAGCAGAGAGAACGCGATGTTGACGAAGCCACTGGGCAGTGGTGTCAAAATAAAGGGGGTCGCAGCAGATCGAGCTGGCAGCTTTTGTGGGGAACTTCGCGAGGACCCAGGGGCGCGGAGCCCCAGCGTGCGACAACGCCCAGGGCGCCGTTGGTCGCCCCTCTCTTGGCCATCTGCTGGAGACACTCATCGATCTCCAGCAGTCCTGCACTGGTGAAGTGAGTGAGGTCGGCCCCGCGTGGGCCGCAGTTTCAAGACGGCCCCAGCGTGGCGGCGATGAGCGAGAGGGCTGCCGCTCTTGGCCGCCTCCCACGTGTGCTGCGCCTTCGGCCTCTGGCAGCGCAGGAGGCCCGGGAGGTTTCGCGCTGCATGGAAAGGGAGGCGCCCTTGCGCCTTGGGGCCGACTCTGCAGCCCCACCCCCTTGCCGAGGCGGCGCCCCTGCGCCATTCCCCTGCCGAGGGGGTGAGCGACACGCCATCCGCTCGCAGGGGCATTGTGCATCGCCGGGGCCGCCGCCGCCGCGATGCGCCAAGCAACAATTACCGACCATGGCACCGCGCCTCTGCCGCGCCGCGCCGCGGCGCCCCGCTGGGCACAGCGTCGGCGAGAAGGCATCTGCGAGCGGCCCCCGCGGAGGCTGCGGCCGTTCGCGGCGCGCTGCGAGCGTCCATCTGCGCCGCGCAGATCTCGCCCCTGGGGGCCGCTGGCTCGGGGGCGGATCACAGGCGGGCGTCCAAAACAGAGAGCGATTTGCCTCAGGAGGGGGGCTACTCCTGGGCGCTGGGCGCTGATGGCATTGCTGTGAAGACTGACGTGGCCTCCCTCCCCCGAAGGGCGGTGGCCCCTGGGGGGATACGATCAAGCTAGCATCTGGAAGAGAAAGGGGAGACGAGCGACTGGCTCAGACCTCCGAGTGGGCGGGGGCGGGGGGGGGAGGAGGAACGAAGGACAAGAACGCTCTCATGACTGCAGTCGAATTCCATAGCAAGGACGGACGGTGCGGACGCAAGGGCCCTGGACGCCGAGGCTGGCACTGCTGGGCGGCGAGTTGCCAGCCCCCGGAAGGGCTGAGGCAAGGGCGCAGAGGTACCCTGAGGACATCCGTGCGTCCTTCCTATCACTTTGGACGGTGTCAATAGGGAGGGGCGAAGACGGATGTGGGCCTGGCTGCTGGCGACGTGAAGCGTGGCAGCTGGGAGATAGGCAGGCGCCGGCACTCGCCAAAGTTGGACGGACGGGCGGACATGGCGCGGCCGCGGCCGCGCTCGCCAAGGCAGGATGGCGCCAGGGCCCCGCCTCTTCCCCCCACGGGGGGCGCTTTGACAGCGGAGGCCCCCCCGGCCCCGCCCGCGGAGCCGTCGCCGGCCGAGGCAGGCGAAGGCTTTGTGTTCCAACGGAAAGCCCCCCGCGGGGCCACCCGGAGGCCTCCACTGGGGGGCTGGCGGCCTGCGCGCCCTCCACTGCAGGCGGTGGCCGCGAGTGGCGCCTCCTTCCCCACACCAGCATACACCCCCCGTGCCGTTGGGACCCCCCCACCCCCGACCGCCAGCCCGTCCAGGGGGATCCTCACCCGCCAGGGCAGGCAAAGGGTTCCGGAGGCAGGACTGGTGGCTGTAGGTGCGGGCTTCCCCACGAACGGTGAGGTGTGCGCCAGTCTGCGCCGGTGGCCACAGTGGGCTGCGTTGCCCTTCCCGCCCGGCCGATGCCCACCTCAACCGCCCCCCATCGTGGCCGGCGGCGCGCGGTGGCAGCGAGCGGGCGGAGATCTACGCCGGGCGGCGGCCTTGTGGCGGGAGCGAAGCGGTGCGGGGAGAGGCGGGGCCGTGGCTGTGGCGGGCAGGGGGCCCGGCAGGGGATGAGACAGCAGCGGCCCGGCTGTGGCCGCGGCCGCCCCAGCTAGCGCCAGGGCTCGAAGCAGAAAACACGTTACCTATACGACCGCTCTGCGGGCGATAAGGAGGTTGGGGGGGGGATTGAGATCAAATGCCCACCCTGACTGACCTCCAGCCTGTCAACTTAATATCATCTCTCTCTTTCTCTCTGTCTCTCTCTCTCTCTGTCTCTCTCTCTCTCTCGCCCTCTCTCTCTCTCTCCCTCTCTATCAGAGTCTCCCTCCACCGCAATGATGATCGCGATGACGATGAGATCCCACTATCTACCTATCCGTCGACCGACCTATCGGTTAATCTCATTGTCGATCTCACTATCGACCCGGGACACCCGGAATAAGATAAGATCAGCTGGATTTGATAAGAAAGCCCGCCACAGGCGCCGACGAGAATAATTTGATGGATTGGGTTGGGTGGATTGGATTGGATGGGTAGGATGGATTGGATAAGATAAGATGGGCTGGATTGGAAGACATGAATTGGATAAGTCAAGATGGATTGGATTGGCCCGCCACAGGCGCATAAACAAATGAACTGATGTATTGGGTTGGGTGGATTGGATTGGGTGGGATACGATAAGATGTGACAAGATGGGTTGGATAAGATAAGATGGATTAGGTAGGACAATATGGATTTGAGAACACAAGCTGGATTGGATAAGAAAGCCCACCGCAGGCGCCGAAAACAAATGATTATGGAATTAGCGACGCGCGTTAGCGCCGGGACGCCCGGGACACCCGGGACACCCGGGACACCGCCTGGCCCAAGTGGGACACCTCCCGGCAACCGCCGGCCGGGAAACGGACTTTCGCTCCTATTGACACCCAGGACACCCGGGACACCGCCTGGCCCAATTGGGACACCTTCCAGCCACCGGCGGACGGGAACGGATGTCCGCTCCTACTTCGGCCTAGTTACAGGAGGATCACGCGCAGCTTCGCCTCGCCCGCACGCACGACACGAACACGAAACCGAAACCGACTCCGTTTCACTGCGATCTCACCCCCCTACCTCCGATGAGCGTACACTTTCGGGCCTCCAGACGTATATGTGTGTGTGTTTGTGTGTGCAGTGTGTGTGTGTGTGTGTGAGTGTGTGTGTGTGTGTGTGTGCAGTGTTCTGTTCTTCCGAGGGCGGCCGACGGCTGCGGTTCCGCGCCCTGCCCCTCAGCATCACACGAGAGCCGGCGGTGCTGCGGGCGACGGGGGCGGCGGCCTGCGGCGCGGAGGAGGGCTCTTCCTCGAGACCTCCTCCTTCAAGCGGTGGCGAAGCGTCCCAGCTCGCCTATAGGCCTACCAAAGGATGTTGAGAGGACCTGTTGTGGTCTGCACGAACTGTTTTTCGAACGCTTCTGGCTGGGACTATCTTGTTTTAACACATCGGGGGTGTTTTCTGAGAGCAATGATTTTGTTATTGGGGCATTTCTGGGTTCAGGAACATGTCGTGGTAGGCTTATAGGAATGCGGGGACGGTCGGCCCCTGCTCAACTCCTGGTCCTCCTCCCGCTGCTCCCCCTGGGATCCGACGTTGCGGAACAGTTGCGCCGTCGACCAACACCGCGTCCGGAGCCCCAGGCCCAGTGGCCGAAAATCTTTGGGCGAGCACGCCCGGTGTGCAAGATAGCTGCAGCGCCAGGATCTCAGGGTCTCCTGCTTCTCCTTCTCCCTCCTTGCTCCTGTGGGCACAGCCTCCGAGTGGGAGATCGACTAGTTACATGATTGACTGACTGCTAGTTCGTTCCGTCGGATCCAAGACACATGCGAATAATGTTCGTGGGTCTACGAAGGATCTGGTACGTTTTTGTAAGATTCACTGGCTGACGCCGCACCGCCGACCCCTTTGGGCGGCAGCAAGAGTGAAAAACGGAGTTTGCGGAACGATTTTTGGGGAACCTTGGGGTTTCAGCTTCTTGGGATTTCGTCGGGGGCTGTTGGCGGATGGCCGCTCTACTCTTGGGCTTCTTTGGGCTCTCTTGGCAGCCCTTTCGAGGCTTCTTGGGGGCCGTTTTCAGGCCTCCAGGAGCCTCTTTTGGGCCTCTCGGGGGCCTCGGGAGCCTCTTGGGTGCCTACTGGCGCCTCCTCAGGTTTTTTCGGGACCGAGTGCTCGAAATGTTCATTCGGGTTCCCCCTCTGGGCCTCTTCTTGGGGCCGTCCTGGGGCCCTCGTGGGTCGCTTTGGAAACTTCTGGGGCCCTCTTGGCCGTCTTGGAGCCCTCTTGGGGGCCTCTTGGGCTATCTTGGGTCGATCTTAAAGGCTTCTTGGGCCGTTGTGGGCCTCGTGGAAGCCCAAGAGGCGAGTGTGCTAACAATGCACGTTTCCCCTAGGGAATGGGACGACTTTTGCTTCTAGAGGGCCTCTTGGGACGCCTTGGTGGCTTCTTGGAGCGTCTTGGGGTCTTGGAGCGATATTTCGGCGACACGTAGCCCCTCTTGGACCGTCCGGGGGGGGCTTTTTGGGGCCCTTCTGGCCCGTTTTGGGGCTCTGAGGCTCCAAGGGTGCGGCCGGCACCTTTGCCCCCCCTCCCCCCCTCCAAACTGGCCGGACCGGGCTCCAAGCGTCTCGCACGCCGTGACCCCAAAGGGTCGGCGGATTTGGTTAATCTACCCATCCCACGCAATTTGGCCACCTAGCTGCGGCCGAGTTTCGGCCATTCGTAGGATACGGCGTAGTACAGAGTATCGGCTGGGCTGGCACAGCACTCGCCTTGAGCATGGTTATAGACCCCTTGAGGGGCAGCGGATCAGTAGGTGTTCGCTCCCGTCCTCTCCCTTCAGAGCTGACGGGAAAGGGACGAAGAGACACATCTAGGGAAACAAAGCGAGCAACGGGGTGGCCTTGGAAGGCCTCTTCGGGCCATCCCTGGGTGCCGCGTGGGGGCAAGAGGAGGAGGAGGAGGAGGAGGAGGAGGAGGAGGAGGAGGAGGAGGAGGAGGAGGAGGAGGAGGAGGAGGAGGAGGAGGAGGAGGAGGAGGAGGAGGAGGAGGAGGAGGAGGAGGAGGGGGGGAGGAGGAGGAGGAGGAGGAGGAGGAGGAGGAGGAGGAGGAGGAGGAGGAGGAGGAGGAGGAGGAGGCGGAGGAGGAGGAGGAGGAGGAGGAGGAGGAGAGGAGGAGGAGGAGGAGGAGGAGGAGGAGGGAGGAGGAGGAGGAGGAGGAGGAGGAGGAGGAGGAGGAGGAGGAGGAGGAGGAGGAGGAGGAGGAGGAGGAGGAGGAGGAGGAGGAGGAGGAGGAGGAGGAGGAGGAGGAGGAGGAGGAGGAGGAGGAGGAGGAGGAGGAGGAGGAGGAGGAGGAGGAGGAGGAGGAGGAGGAGGAGGAGGAGGAGGAGGAGGAGGGAGGAGGAGGAGGAGGAGGAGGAGGAGGAGGAGGAGGAGGAGGAGGAGGAGGAGGAGGAGGAGGAGGAGGAGGAGGAGGAGGAGGAGGAGGAGGAGGAGGAGGAGGAGGAGAGAGGAGGAGGAGGAGGAGGAGGAGGAGGAGGAGGAGGAGGAGGAGGAGGAGGAGGAGGAGGAGGAGGAGGAGGAGGAGGAGGAGGAGGAGGAGGAGGAGGAGGAGGAAGGAGGAGGAGGAGGAGGAGGAGGAGGAGGAGGAGGAGGAGGAGGAGGAGGAAGACGAGGAGGAGGACGAGGATGACGAGGAGGACGAGGACGCGGATGAGGAGGAGGACGAGGAGGACGAGGACGCGGATGAGGACGACGCGGACGAGGACTCATGGAACCATCTAGAGGTATTCTTGCGGCTGTTGCTGCTTCTGGTGCTGTCTGGGAGTTCGGGAGGCCCTCTTGGAACCCTCTTGGTAACCCTGGGAGGCTTCTTGGGATCAGTTTTGCGGGAGGGGTTGCCGCGCCCGGTGCGTGGCTCAAGGCCCCCCCAAAAGGGCCGCCGTGCGCTCCCGCAGGTTGTGAGCCTGGCGC